ATGACACTCTCATGCAGATCCTAGTATCGTCTGCAAAAGATGATACAGTGCTGTGGTTTACATCTCTGTCTATGTCTGATACGAGAATAAGGAACAGGATAGGTGCGTGTACTGTGCCTTGTGGGACAGAGCTCTTCACTATGGCAGCATCTGATTTAACTCCGTTTACCACTACTCTCTGTGTGCGATTGGTTAGAAAGTTGAAGATCCATCTGACTTCCTTGCCGGCTATCCCTTTAGCACGCATTTTGTGTGCTATTACACCATGGTTGCACTTGTCAAAGGTTTTTGCAAAGTCTGTGTATACTACATCCGCATTCTGTTTGTTTTCCAGTGCATCCAGGACCATATCATAGTGGTCAAGCAGTTGCGAAAGGCAGGAGCGACCTGCTCTGTAACCATGTTGCTCTGGGTTGTGCAATTTTTGGGAGTCCAGGTGGTTTGCTGTTCTGCTTCATAGAACTCTTTCAAAAATTTTTATGATATGGGACGTTAAAGCTATTGGTCTATAGTTCTTAGCTCCTGCTTTGCTACTACCTTTATGGAGTGGGGCTATATCTGTTGTTTTTAGTAACTGTGGAATCTCGCCTGTGTCTAAGCTCCTCCATAGCATACTTAGGGCCCGTGAGAGGGGTTTCTTGCAGTTTTTAATGAACACCGAGTTCCACGAGTCTGGGTCTGGGGCAAAGTACATTGGCATGTCGTCGATGGCTTTCTCAAAGTCTAGTAGAGTTAGGGTTATGTCATAAATCTGGCCTACATTGGCATGATTTTGAGGCTCATTCATGAAAAAAATGTTTGGATTGTCTATCTTTAAACTGGTTAGTGGCTCGCTGAACACTGAGTCATACTGCAATTTCAGTATCTCGCTCATTTCTTTGTTGTCGTCTGTGTAGGATCCGTCTTGTCTGAGCAGGGGCCCTATACTAGAAGTGGTTTTTGACTTGTTTTTGGCATATGAAAAGAAATATTTCGAATTTCTTTCAATTTCATTAATCGCTTTTAGCTCCTCTTGTCTCTCCTGGATCCTGTATGAGTCCTTTAACTTCAGCTCAATATTTTCCACTTCCCTATAAGCACTTCCTTCCGTGTATCAGATAATCTGGCATTCTTGTGGGGCTCAATGATTCTTCGTCTTCTCCTGTAGAGGGAGCGTCTCTCTCTCTCCAGTTTACTTCTTCTTTTCTTTTGTCTTATAGGAATATACCTTGAACATACTTCAGCTACCAGAAGGGTGATCTTTTCGAGGCATTGGTTAGGGTCCATGTAATTTAAGATATCCTCCCAGCATGTTTCATTTAGGGCATAGTTTACCTGATCCCAGATGATGTTCTTGTTGCTGAAGTTGAATTTGGTAAAGGTACCCTCATAACTGTATGCATCTTGCCGATCAGGACTCCTCTGCATGCAAGTCTGGTTGTCTTCGAGAAGGAGCTGGACAGATTCCTAAAAAGCCAGTGCCGGATCAGCCGGACTGTGGTTCGTACGTTAGACTACATGCGGCCATCAGTAACAGCCTCGTTGATCAGGCCCTGATCCACCAGGAGTCCTGGTCATGGACCGGGCCCGGGGGACGTTGATCCCGGAATACCCTCCAGCTAGACTCCAGGTAGGTAGACCAGAAATATTCGCGTTATATCTGTTCCGTTGGACGATAGCTATTACAAACTAACCAGTTACTTTTTAACTAAGCGATAAAGATAATTTTAACATGAGGTGATGAAGACATTTATAGGATAATTAACCCAGGATAACCTACGAAAGTTGGGGGCCTGTCCATCTCCGTTGGATCCTTCTGTTCGAATTGAGATCATTCTACTTCCATTCTGATCCATATATTTCCATTGAGATCCGTCTCCTACCGTTGAGGACAATGTTTCTCTCAGTGTAGAGTGCTAATAGGTAGTGCTAATAGATCTGATGCCGTGCTCCTTCCTTAAGTGGATGTGACCTGACCTGACGAGGTTGGGTGATTGGCTTAAGTTGGTAAGCGACTTGAACCTGCCTCGCATGGGCCTGCTGCAGTGTTCCTTCTTTCTGTGTAGACCTCCATCAGGTATAATCGTCTTGATAACATTCTATCAAGGCTGAGGAAGTTATCACTCATCTTTCAGCCTCCAGTATACAATCACTTAAACGAATTAGAGAAAGCCACTGATTGGCGAAACGTCCACACAATAAACATAGAATTGAGACACTTGTGCAACACATGGGAATCTTTATTGAAGGAACGTTTCGCCACACAGTGGCTTCATCAGTCCAATACAAAGTAGAAATGGGTAAGGAGAGGAGGAGTTCGAGGTAATCAGTCCCTCAACCTGGAACCGATGTGTTCAGTCCATCACTCTTGATGGACTGAACGCATCGGGTTTCAAAACCATTCACCACAATAAACACCCTGACGTAGACGTTTCGCCATCCAGTGGCTTTATCAATACAGATTCTAGGACATAACTTGAAGACAGTAGAACTATATACAGTGACTATGCCCTCGCCTGCAACCCGTCTGTGTCCACCTGAAGCCTATATAAGTGCCAGCCTCCTTGTCTGTGCTCCAGAATCTCCACAATAATAATAATAATAATAATAATAATAATAATAATAATAATAATAATAATAATAAATTTAGAGCACTAAATAATCTGTGACAAGATAAGTAAAAAAATACCAGCAAATGTTTTCCTGAGTATACTGGAGGAAGGTCACCTATACAATACCAGACCATAAAGTTCTTAAAGGTCAACTATTGAGGGATAAAGGGGCTTAGCAGGGTAGTGTGAGCGCCTGACCAGGTCAGTCCTGGGACATCCCTGCACTACGCTGATGTACTGTGGGAAAAGCGTTGGTGTGGGCCGTGTGGGAGTGGGCAGGTGTGGGAGTGGGCAGGTGTGGGAGTGGGCAGGTGTGGGAGTGGGCAGGTGTGGGAGTGGGCAGGTGTGGGAGTGGGGAGGCGTAAAAGTGAGGAAGGTGTGAAAGAGTCTAAAAAAAAATGTTTCTTCGTAAAACGCAAATCTTACTTAACCTAAGCAAACCTAACCTAATCTAGCCAGACCTAATATTACTTAACGTAGTTTAACCTAACCTAGCCTTAACTAATCTAAAATCTGTAATCTACATAACCAACACTTCCACCGGTCTCTATAAAAACGATCAGATAGAGACAAAATTCAGACAGGGACACACAAACAGAGGTAAACAACATTGGTCTTAGAGCAGGTAGAGAGGACGAGGGATAGGGGTGAGGTGGACAAAGGTAGACTGGCTCGGAAGAAGACCGCATTCACGGAGTGATCCTGAGATTAGATAGGGTAGCGACGGCCATGTGGCACCGAAACCACACACACACACACACACACACACACACACACACACACACACACACACACACACACACACACACACACACACACACACACACACACACACACACACACACACACACACACACACACACACACACACACACACACACACATACGTATAGACGTGTGTAAATACTTTTACAGCATAAGAGGAATTACCTATAATACCCTGGCTGCCTTCAAGAGGGAGCTGGACAGATGCTTAAAGTCAGTGCCCAATCAGCTGGGCTGTGGTTCGTACGCTGGGCTACGTGCGGCCAGCAATAACAACAGCCTGGTTGATCAGGCCCTGATCCATCTTGAAGCCTGGTCAAGGACTGGACCACGGGGACGTTGACCCCCGGAACACCCTCCAGGTAGGATATAATAGAAACTAAATCGATTCGCCTGTTCAAAACTGAAACGACATAAACATCATGTTACAAAAATATATTGTTAGGTAAGACACATATGCAACAGTTAGACAACTTTATTCCGAAACGTTTCGCCTACACAGTAGGCTTCTTCAGTCGAATACAGAAAGTAGGCAGGAACAGGGACTGACAACCTCAAATTCTACGACTACAAGGGTGATGGACTGATTACATCGTCTTCACATCTCTACTGTTCCTGCCTACTTTCTGTATTCGACTGAAGAAGCCTACTGTGTAGGCGAAACATTTCGGAATAAAGTTGTCTAACTGTTGCATATGTGTCTTACCTAACAACCTGTCGGTATTGTATACCATTTTGATGTTCACAAAAATATATGCTTGATAACAGGACCAAGAACTGGAAGCCGAAGACACAAGTCAACAGGCAGACAAACACAGACACACAGACAGACAGACAGACAAACATAGACATAACTGGAGAATATCCAGGCTCGCCCGAGGATGATTGACAGCCGGAGATAATACCGGGGCATTTCCCGGCATAAGATCTTGGTGTTGGGGATCACTTGGGGATACCAGAGGAACACCCGATGGCATACTGATGTGTGTGTGTGTGTGTGTGTGTGTGTGTGTGTGTGTGGTTGGAGGGGTTAAGTTTTAGTTCGTAACCTGCCGCTTACCGGATTTACTCTTAGCCTCGTGGGCCCCTATCATTCCTTTTCTTAAAACATGTATAGAGCCTGCCTCCACTACTTCGTCCAGTTCATCCTACTTCCTGGTCACCCTCAGGCTGAAAAGATACTTCCTGACATCCTTGTGATTTATCTGTCTTTAGCTTCAAATTGTGTCATCGTGTACTCTTTCTCCTCTTGTCGAACAGTTTATTCCAGTCCACCCTCTTATGACAGATCTAGAATTTTATATGTCCATTTTGTCTCCTTAGGTTTTTCTGTCCTTTATAATAATTAATAATGATCGATAATAATTTGGATAATAATATGAATTAATAATAATAAAAATAATAATAGCAATAGTGAGAAAGATCTTTTATATTAAGTATAAAAGTCACTGCATTAGCTGAAACAGTTAACTAGTCCACAATTTCAACGTGAAAGTTACCACGTTTCGGTCCGACCTGGACATCTCGTGACTCGATAATGATCCAAGACTAACCGAAAGGCCGTCCAGTAGCATTTCTAATTTATAAATATAGTGTGAAGCCTCTAGTTTCGCAATGCAGTTTCTAATATCTCTGGTCTTTCAGCAGGGCAGGAGCCTGGAGCGGGACCCAAGAGAACCAGACAGACCTACACTAGGTACCAGACACTGGAGCTGGAGAAAGAGTTCCACTTCAACCGGTACCTGACACGGCGACGACGGATTGAGATCGCTCACGCCCTCTGCCTCTCAGAGCGACAGATCAAAATCTGGTTCCAGAATCGGAGGATGAAGGCCAAGAAGGAGGCCAAGATGTCGAACGACAGCGCCGGGGAGAAGAGCGAGGAGAGCGAAGAGAAAGAAATTAGTGACACCAGCTCCTCATCCCCTGTGCTCCTGCAGGGGGTGCTAGCGGGGACGCTGTCAGCTACTTGATCAGCCAAAGTTATCTCACTCGACAATGCGGTGATTCACGTTGAGTGTGTCTGGTGGTGACTCTGTAAGTCTTCGTGTACAAAGTGGGGCTAAAATATGAATTGTGTTCATATTATTCACATATTTTTCTCAAAAAAAAAGAGCTGTAGAACAAGCTTTCAGTGGAACGGCGCTTCCTTCTGTGTATTATTATTGTCATGGGAAAGCGCTAAACCAGTAGGAATTATACAGTGCCTGTGGGGGGATTGAAGGCGTTCAGGTTTAATTCAGAGAAGTGGAAGACAGCTCCAAGTCCCTAGATCAAAATCCCCTCACCGGCATCACGGAAACCTCCCTGGAGGGGTTCCCTCTGTGTTGAGCTTCATCGTGTCATAGGTATGACTACATAAAGCTTTACACAGAGCGAAACCTCGTCCCGATGAAAGCTTGTTATCAAGCCTATCTTTTTCTCACTATTGTCGGCAGCACCCTTTAAATTCATATATTTTTGTACTTGTTGCATTATTCATAATGTATGACTGGTGCCAGAACCTAATATTCACTAGATTAGTGATTTGCTATTTATATAAGGAAGACATTTTATTTTTTTCCTGCATTTCTTTTATTATTAGGTCTCCTGTTGCTCATTAGTGCAATAAGAACACAAACTTATTTATTATTATTGATGTATTTTTAAACGAACGTGCAATAAGATAGAGAGCAGGTGACCGCGGGTGACAATATCCTCATTAGGCGGTAGGTGAGAAATCGGGATGAGATGGGTGATATTTGCACCTCAGAGCTAAGATCTTCGACATAAAAACACACACATATAAACACACACACTGACTCTCTCTCTCTCTCTCTCTCTCTCTCTCTCTCTCTCTCTCTCTCTCTCTCTCTCTCTCTCTCTCTCTCTCTCTCTCTCTCTCTCTCTCTCTCTCTCTCTCTCTCTCTCTCTCTCTCTCTCTCTCTCTCACTCACTTTCTGCATCTTTAAACAAGATTCCATGCGGATATTGCACTTTGAATATCTATGATCATTCTCTAATATTTATAATTATCTGGTAAACACACCATTGCTGACGATGTAGCTCCGCCTCAATATATAATTCTTAGGTGTTAAATTACGTTTGACTGATGGTAAACAGGTAATATTCAGCCTTAAGGGCTCTCGTGCAGTTGATAGATTTTAAACCTATTGCTCCATTTGAGGCCATTGCAATTTTCCTCATTTAAATTTATGTACATAAATTTTGCTACATGAATCGGTTAAGTCTCTGTCAAGTGGACTCGACTTTGGGCTAGTCCAAAGATTAATTGCTATAAAATTACTGTAAGGAAGGGTTGACTTCCTGCCTTTCAAAGGCCATGTCAAATGTTGTCAAATAGTCATTAGCGGTGAGCACTTCAACCAGAGCATCTATTGACAAATGGTCGGCCAGATCTTCCTCCTCAGCAGTGACTAAGTGACTCTCACCTTGTCAAAATCGCCCTCATATCCGGCTTGTCTGACGAACACCCATCCATCACCGCCCAATTTCCTGCACCTCACCGACTCCCACCACCCAGGCCCATAAAATCTCTCACCTTTCACTTCTATTCATTAGTTTGTCAATTATAGACTCCGGGTTAAATGGTGGAAGAAGCCTGGGGGATGAGGCGAGCATGTAAATGTCATACTGAGGGGCAATAAATGGTATAGTAAGGGCAATAAATGGCTGGCCGTGACCTCCAGCTTGTTGTAAAATTAATTTTATGGCTGCCTTCTGGTGGTGTTCTCTAGTCAAGCAGTCAGTGGAACTACATGTGGAGTAGAGTGAGGTGGCAGCAGTCGGTGTGTAATCAGTGCAGGCAGTATGGCAGTGGTAAGTAGTGTGGTATTTGTGCAAGTGGTAATTGTGGAATGATGTTAGTGGCTGTATTTGTGAAGGTGACTATTTGATTGTATTGGTGGATCTTGTGATGGTCCTTGATATGCTCAAGTACACTGCAAGAGAAAAAGCTTCCCATGCAAGCCAGGTCATTTCACATCCACCATGGTTGATCTGAGGAAGGGGATATGTGATAGTGAGTAATATGACGAGTGATATGAATCCTGACATACTGTAGTGATAGTGAGAGATGGTAAGGAAGTCCGATGTTTACAGTTGGTTAAACTGGAGTGATATTATAACTGCTTTTCAACTGTAGATTATTAATTAAAAAAATTCCTTTATCTCCTTAAATAGGGATTAGTGAAAAGCGTTAGTAAATGTACACACAAAGATGGATGGTTAGTTGGCTGTTTCGAACCTGTTGACTGCACCAGGGTTATTAAGAGGAATACTTTTGTAAATTTTGTTTCTGTCAAGGAAATGTATATTTAAGTCTGCAGTGGGATGGTATCTCAACACCAATGAAGAATAATCTCAAAGTAGTGTTTGCTTAAAGACTTGGAGTTCAGAATACATATATACAAAGAGAGCCCCCATCCTACCTGGAGTCTACCTGGAGGTTATTCCGGGGATCAACGCCCCCGCGGCCCGGTGGATCAGGGCCTGATCATCGAGGCTGTTACTGCCCTAGGTGTATATAAACCACTCTTCTCGGTACATTTTGCTCTCATTATATATGCAATGACACATTAAATGCTGATGGAATATAACTTATATTAACATAATTGCGATCAGAATTAATTACTTGACTGTGTCATAAACACAGGACATTTCTCATCTAGGCCTATAGTAAGTTTATTTAAGTACAGGCACATATAAGTACAATTATCATACATAGTAACATTATTATTATTTTTTATTATCACACTGGCCGATTCCCACCAAGGCAGGGTGGCCCGAAAAAGAAAAACTTTCACCATCATTCACTCCATCACTGTCTTGCCAGAAGGGTGCTTTACACTACAGTTTTTAAACTGCAACATTAACACCCCTCCTTCAGAGTGCAGGCACTGTACTTCCCATCTCCAGGACTCAAGTCCGGCCTGCCGGTTTCCCTGAACCCCTTCATAAATGTTACTTTGCTCACACTCCAACAGCACGACAGATGGTTTTTAATACTTGACGTGCTGTTGGAGTGTGAGCAAAGTAACATTTATGAAGGGGTTCAGGGAAACCGGCAGGCCGGACTTGAGTCCTGGAGATGGGAAGTACAGTGCCTGCACTCTGAAGGAGGGGTGTTAATGTTGCGGTTTAAAAACTGTAGTGTAAAGCACCATAGTAACATGTGCAATAATATCATAGTACACAGGTGATATCACAATATACGAAATAACCACTGCAAAAACAAAAAAATAATGAACTTCAAACGGCTTTCGTGATTTCTCACATTATCAAAGACTTTAAAAACGTGAGGAATCACGAATGCGCTTGGAAGTTCCCTATTTTTTCATAGTGATCGTTTTGCATAGTAACATATGAGTAAATTACCTAGGCTAGGCCCAGAAAGTTAGACAAAGTGACTTACATCCATTAGGGTCCTATAGCACACGGGAGAGATCAGTTGAAGTGGCTCATCACTACAACAAAAAATGAAGACTTGCCTCTTTCACCCTCTTCCTCTGTTGAGACAACACAATATAACACGGATATAATACGTAACAGAATAATCTTTTCACTATCTGCAGCATGTATCTTACATTGGTGATGAGTGTGACATGTAAAGCTGATGAATGGAATTATTATCGCCTGGTTGCAGACACCTGCCTACCACGCTGGTACAACCATGGCTCAAGGATCGACTCTTGTTTATTTTTCTTCTGTCACATAGTAACCCTTTATTAAGATAAAGGTCTCTTGATCCCCCAAAATAATTAAAATTAATCCTCCCTTTCCCTTTTCTCCTGATATTAAAAAAATTAATATCCATGACGTGCGGGTTTCGTACCTTCCCATGAAAATCTAATAACACTGATAATAATACGTATTAATATGCATGGCAGACACAATATATTTGTGACTTCTGGTAGCACATGACATTTATGTTTTGACAAGCGTACGTGGAGAGACTTACACATTACACTAGCAATACTTTTATAATATATATCTATGCACTCAGGTACAGGAAGGTAAAAATAAATATAACAGGATAAGTTTTCAATTATTTTTTTATGTCGAGGCATATAAAAAATGCTCTAATATTTTAGTTAAAAAAAAGATAATATTTCTCCGTGACGAGGTATTTTTTTTTAGATTAATTATACCAAATGTTTTACCCACTTTTTATTTAGAATTGAGTAATACATAGAAAGTATATTGTATGTATATAATATTAGTTAAGAATCTCCAGGACATACTCTGGAGATGTGGTTTTTGCAACCTTGTAACAGGAAAAAATTTTTATTTATATATTTTGTATTTACAGTGGCACTAAAGTAAGGTAATGAAACGGGTGTATTGTATATAGATTTAATTATAAATGTGTCATAAAGATTCTTGTATTTCTTCCAAATCAATGTGAACCAGGAATAATTTGTGCAGTATTACAGATAACTAACTTTTTTGTATTGAGATGACGTGTATTTACAAGACTGACGATTCCTTCCTGATACTGACATATTAATGAGAAACTTAAGGTTATTTATATAAAAACTGAAAGAAATGAGGTCTCTGTAGGAACACATTGAATACATATATGTCTCACAGTGTATATACTACACCCAGAAATGAGTGTTTATACATACACACACACACACACACACAAACATGCATACATACATAGAAACGTATTTATATCTCAAGAGTATATACACCTAGAGATGCACATCTCAGTAGAGTGGACGTACATAGAATCGAGAACCTGTCAATGTATTTACACCAGAAGAAGTGCATTTCTCAGTGACTGTACACAGAGGTGTATATTCCTCGGTGTATATTGACCCAGTTAAACTTATCGAGAGATTTGTGTCTCAGCATATAACCACCCAGAGATGTGTAGGTTTTGTGACCAGTCTCTACGGTATCTTCTACATGTGGATTATGATATGTCTGAACGCAGGCGAGAAGGAGATATCATAATCTACACCTGGGATCTTAAAGTGGTCCCAGTAATTTAGGTGCTTGACTAAGTTTATACGAGCTGTGACGGTTCTCTGTGCATCATCTAGCTCTGCATTTTCTACTGCCTTGAAAGGGGCCGTCAATGCTCAACAATATTCGTCTAGAGAGAACGAATGACCTGAAGTGTATCATAAGTGGCTTGGAATCTCTTGCTTTAGGGTCAGGTTATCCACTCAATCATTTTTCTTGCAGATGCAGTAATAACATTGTTGTGCTTCTTCAACATGAGATCTTTTACCATTATAACGCCTAGGTCTCTCATATTTGACATACTTTTTATTGAGTGGTTTGAGGTTTGTCTTGTACTCCGATCTTGTTTTTATTTCCTCCATTCTTCCATGAAGCAATAACTGAAATCTGTCATCACTGAAATCATATTGATGTCACTGGCCCACTAGAAGTCTTCTTTTATATTAGGTTGGAGGCCCGCTGTATCTTTTATGAATACCACTTTCATGCGAATTCTAGTATCATCTGCAGAGGATGATGCAGTGTACCTGTCTGTCAGAATGAGGAAGAGAAGTGGGGAGACAACTGTGCCTTGGGGTGACTGAACTTTCCACTGTAGCAGCCCCAGATTTCACTCTGTTTACTGCTGCGATTTGGATTCTGTTTGTTAGGAAGTTAAATAGCCATCTGACCACCTACCCAGTTATTCTTCTGGCACGCATTTTGTGTGCAATTGCCCCATGGTTGCACTTGTCAAATACTTTTGCCGTTTGTTAGTCTTCAAGCGCAATCAAGGGCATGTCATAATGGTCAAGGGCTCGTTCCCCGGCACCTATGCTGCCCCTGTTCACCTAGCAGTAAGTAGGTACTTGGGTGCTAGACTGAAACATGACATGACATGAGCAATACTCAAGGAAGTGTGGGGAATCCTTCATGCTGGTGACGAGCTTTTGATTCAAGGAAAGAGAGACTAGATGCGAATTGATCTACCCTTCCATTCCTTGGATCAAACCTGCCTGCCTCTCATTCCTCAGGATTAGTATTTCCGCATGTAAAGAATAATAATAATAATAATAATAGTTACATTATTTAATAAAACTAATTTTTTTTATATTTTATTGAGAGCATATCTTGTACAGACATAGTACATATATATAGTATAACACTGTTGAGAACAATAAGTACATACATAAATTATCACACACGCACACATTGTTGGACACAGGAGAAGAAACCCGTCACAGACAAACAAAAAGAAAGACCATCAAGCACACTATACATCACTCAAGTCACCTATCAGTATATATAAGAAAAACACTTGAAATTGTCACACCATACTCATGCAGGTGTAAGTACAAAAAACATCACACATATATATTATTGCAAAAGAAACGCACACTCCTAATAAAAAAAAAACCTTTCTTGAGACTAAGTCATGCAGAAGTATCTACATCCGCCTGAGGTACACACACCTCCGCCAAATACATTGGCCACAATTACTAAATTATCATATTGTTGTACACATACATAAAACTAATTACTGTATTTGAAAACGATTATACATATTTTTTTAACATGAAGTTACAAAAAAAAAATAAAAAAATAATTGCAAAATTATTTTAACGGAGCTTAAGAGTAATATTCCCAGGAAGACTTACTTAACTACCTCTCATTAATTATCCAATCGCAGTGAAAGCAATTAACGCAAACTATTTATCGCAGTGAAGTTCATGTAGATAATTATACCGTCGCAAACCCTTCATAAGAATAACTCAGTCATTATGAAAATAATACTAATAATAGCAATGGTAATAACCTAATAATAAAATAATAAAGATAATAATCCAAAGTGTCAACTTCATCTTCATAAAATGAAAATATGTCGTCAGTGTTACTTAAATCCCCTTGAATATTTCTGTATCACTACACTGAAAATCTGACTAATCTTGAAAATAATTGAAAATAATGGTTTTGTATACTAAGCATTCAAAGGGTCTCACGCAGCTTCACGAGATGGGAAGATAATCACTTGTGATCCAAGAAAGGGGAGGGCAGCTGCAGTGTCTTCCATCACCATCCCTTCAAAAGCATCAAGGTGCTCCACTGAACGTAACAATATTTCTTTATATTTAGCTGAGAGTGATAGGGAAGTGAGATTAAGAGAGTAACGCCTTTGGTTCACAACTATGGGACCCGGGTTCGATGCTTGGACGGGTTTTAAGCGCTGGGCAAGTTTCCTTGCGCCCTTCTTCACCTAGCAGGAAATAGGTGCCTGGTTGCTATCTGAGGGTTGTGGGTCACATCCTGGGAGAAGATCAGAGGTTATCAATAAAACTAAGTCACTGACATAACTGGGTTGTTGATTTTCCTCGTTAGAAATCCGAATAGAGTCATCATCTTTATATATTCAAGAGGAAGTGCCAAGCCAGTAGAACAATCAAACAGCCCTTGGGGAATGGGAGGTAATCAGGTTAGATCCATGGACGGGAGGTGTAACTCTAGTTGCTTGAATCAAGAGCCCTTCACCAGTATCAAGAGACGATTCTTGAAGGGAAACAATGGTTTTAACTATTTAAGGCGAGATTAATAAGGAAGTAAAGTTTCTTCTGACTGGCTGCTGACTCAAGTTGTTTGTTTTGGTGGTATGGTGAGTGACGTAACCGGCCGGAGCAGTGAGCTGATTGGCCAGTTTGTAAATCAAGATGGCGGGAGGTGGTGTGCTGCTGCATCGATTCGGTGAATATACACGGCCTAATCTCTCCTTCTTGCTGCTATTAGGCATTGCAGCATATATACTCAGGCTCGGATAGAGGCAGTGAGACCACAGTGTACAGTACTGCAAACTGAAACAGCAACAGTGGATAATAAAGAGAGATAGCTTATAGTACTTTACGGTACAGTGGTCGTTGGGACGCCGGACCATTGTACCGTTAAGCCAGAAGTACAAGCCTGCGAAGTGAACTTTTATGCTTGTTTAACTTCTTGTGTAACCTCACACAATTTGCCATTGTGATGTTTTCGTTATTCATGGTCGATGAAGGCGGAAGATGTTTTATACTGTGACTGCAATGGAAGATACGTTGATGGAGGCTACCAAAGCGAAGAATATTTCGTGTAAAAGGTGGTGATGGTGTTGCTGGCATTACATTCGTCAGGGAAACAGGACAAAGTGTTTTCTGAAGCGGATCTTAGCCACAAGATCAACTAATTGGAGCTCTTGGATATAAAACCAAGGCTCGCAATGGCTTGCCGGTTCACTCCAGTAAAAAAAAAAATAGCATGTGACGTTTTACTATCAAAGAATTTGGTTGATCTTAATCGTGTTCTAGTTTTATTCTCTCAATAATAGGCTCAATTTACTGCCTATATTAATTCGGGTAATCTAACCGATTACATGTTTAAAATGAATATATTTCTTTTGAATAAATATTCATTGTTACGTTAATGTTTTACGCAGCTTTATATAATACCTACCAAGAAAATTAACAAATTTGCGTATGGTTAGTATTGAATGACACGAGAAATGCTTTAACTGTATGCAAATTAAACACAAACAAATTGGATTGACATGCCAGTGTGATTTTTTGAACCCACCAGCCTTATCTAGTATCCTGGGAATATAAAATTCTTCAATCACTTTCTTTGGGGTTTTTCAAGAACTGTTCATGCTGATGAAGGGCTCTTGATCCATGGAATTAGGTCTACCCTCCTCTTCCATGAAATCCGTTTACCTATAGTTCCTCAGACGTTGTATAACTTATGAATTGTAATAAAAATAAAGGTAACAATAGATATGATAATAATAATAATAATAATCTTAATAATAATAATTTAGCTTTGTTACGTAAACTTAAGAAATCAACGTTCTTAAAGTTTCACAAATGTCTCATGAATACCTTCTTAAAACGAAGCGCACTAGGTGCTGATGAGGGGCTTTCGATTCAAGGCACTGGAGTTACTCTGTGATTTCTCAGACTTAACCTGGTGATCTCCCATTCCAAAGGCTCTACGTGTTCCTTACAGATTTAACACTTTATTGTGAATATAATCAAGTAATCCCCTTGTTGACTTTTATCATCTCCAAATTAATATAATTGATTTTGAAAGAAAAAGGCTTCCAAAGCTGTATGTAATGACTGTTTAAAAAATTAAATGTTAAATTAAATAAGCAATTTAATGCTCTAATGAAAACTTAATGAATTTAACTGTTTTCACTAACCAACGTTGAGTAACCGATAACAATGAGACCAATTCACCATTATCAGGAACGCATCTATCGTAATAAGCTAAACCGGCGTGCGATCTACTTTATAAAACAGCAGCCATTTTGCAAGTGAAAAATATGAAATCAATATATTTCTCCATTTTTTCCTCGAATAAGGAGTTTATCCTCCCCGCCTCTCTCTCTCTCTCTCTCACACACACACACACACACACACACACACACACACACACAAATGGGACTGAAATGCCAGTGTGGTTGTAACCTTCAAACCCACCAGCTTGTAATATTTTGGGTATATGAAATACTTCCACCTCTTTCTTTAAGTCTCTTCAAATTCCCTTGATGAAGGGCTCTTGACCTATTCGTCAGGAGCTGGGACTCAAACCCCTGCAACATCATATAAATACTCTCTTTTTCTCTCCCTGCAATATCATATAAATTCTCTCTCTCTCTCTCTCTCTCTCTCTCTCTCTCTCTCTCTCTCTCTCTCTCTCTCTCTCTCTCTCTCTCTCTCTCTCTCTCTCTCTCTCTCTCTCTCTCTCTCTCTCTCACACACACACACACACACACTCTCGGGAGTAGTGAATATTTATCTGAAGAGAACAGAGAAGTAATATACAGATGCTTGCCAGTGGTCTGCAGACTGTAGGTTATCTTAATATTATAAGTACCGATAATATACTTGAAGAAGCATTATTATTTTAAGTCGCAACATATTTAATACAAGTTAAGTCTAAGACAAAACATTTTTTGCCCATTGTGCACATATGTAGGGTCGAGCACGTCCATTGGTACTCAATGGTAGATATTCCCTTCAGTTTTAGCTTCCTCTATCAATACAAAAATACCAGTATAAGTAACTGTTAGTAACTATTCAGTGGTGAATGATTCAATATAATTCATTGCATGTAATTTATATAATATAGGTTAACTATGGCATTCACGCAATGTTTAGATTGTATAAAACAGTGGAGCGATGGGTACACGCAGAGAAAAATAAGTGTAAAGGGAACTCGACTCTTCAGTGCCCTCCCTTCATACACAAAAGAGGGTTACCAAAAAATCACTGGCCGTCTTCAAGAGGGAACGAGATAAATATCTCAAATCAGTTCCTGATCAGACGAGTTGTGGTGCATACATTGAATTGCAGGCAGCAGACACCAACAGCCTGATCGATGAGGCCAGCAACCAGGAGGCCTGATATGGGATCTGGCCGCTGGGGCGGTGGCCTTCAGAAGCGACTAAAAGTAATCTACAGGTACATATGTATAAATATCTCGTTACTATTAACTTAAAATAATGAGTACTATGAAAAATTTAATATGCCATTGTTAACTCTTTTAAATCTTCGTTAATTAGGTTTACCTACCTGTCTGGAGGGTGCTCCGGGGGTCAACGCTCCCCCGTGGCCCGGTCCATGACCAGGCCTAGACATGCCTAAATCATTTATTCCAGTCTTCCATAGCAGCATTGGCGGTCTTTGAATTTCGTGGCTTGATAGTACAGTCTTCCTCTCAAGAAAGGACTTTGGGTTAATTTCAATCGAAAAAGGTCTTTAGGAATAAAAAAACATTCAGTTTTGATCCAGGGGAAGGGACTCTAGGTCGTAGGAAGATGCGTCTGCAAATCAAACACTTCGTAACACTGTTCACTCGATAGTAAATAATACCCCATACTAAGTGACTATCACTAATAAGCCTTGAAAGAAGAAAATACCGGTAAAGTCACGGAAAAAAAATCGTCAAGGGATAAGTTTCCGCTTCTCTCTGTCTTCAAGGTGCCTTGATGCTGATGAAGGCTCATTTTTCTCATGTTTCAAGGAAGTCGAGCTAACTTTTCTCTCCTCGGTTTATACCTGATTATCTCTCACTCTTAATCCTATGACGCTGTGTGACCTATGAAGGCTTAGCGGTTCCCAATGATTGTAATAATAGTAATAATAATAATAATAATAATAATCTCCCTCTCTCTCTTTCTCTCTCTCTCTCTCTCTCTCTCTCTCTCTCTCTCTCTCTCTCTCTCTCTCTCTCTCTCTTCTCTCTCTCTCCTCTCTCTCTCTCTCCTCTCTCTCTCTTTCTCTCCTCTCTATGTCTCACCATTGCCTTGTTTTTCTACTCTTCTGAGTATCAACGTAAAGGCTGAAGGTGGCTCAAGGGAGACGTATGATTAATGTACACAACACTGTGAGAACTCACTATTCTGGCAACGCTATTAACTCCATTAAGGCGACTCTAGAGTGGCTAGTCCCGAGTAGCGCCTCAGTTATGGTCAGTCAGCAATAATAACACTGGTACTGATCAAGGCTGTTTTACAAGGATGGAAGATGGAAACAAGCGGAGTGAAAAAAAAAATGATAGTCGTTTATAGCTTTCTAATTTGTGGAACTATAATGCATATTCTTATGGAATAATTCCTACAGTATAATGTGCACTCGATTAATGACAAATATATAACTAATCGTAAAAAAAATTACATACTTTTAATAAACAAATTTTGTAAGACAATTTTACCTGAGTAACATCAGATATATACACACTAGATGACTTGATATTATTTGAGTGTTTTTGCTATTGATGATCGCTCAATAATCCAAACGGGCTTAGAGCCTTTTTTTTTTTTTTGTTAATGCAATAAACGTCGAAGGGGGGTTGGATTCCTTGATGCCAGCGAAGATCTTTCCATATAAAGCATTTTTGCTATCCTATTCATTGGATCGAATATATTTTCTTCCCGCTGACCACTTGCTTCATGGTTCCTATTGAATTACCGCTCCCCAATTAGTTTAATAATTATAAAAACAGCAATAATAATAATAATAATAGTAGTAGTAGTAATAATAATAACGCCGATATAATAAAAATATATCATGTTACTAAGACATATACATCACAGTCTTTAACTCTGACAGAGTGTATTTACTCCCGCATATCAATTACCTCTGCAGCGTGCAACAGGCCACTGAATGCATGGTGCAGTACTTAAGCATGTATATCGCCGTATTGATCTGCCACGCTGTGTGAATTATCCTTCAACACTGGTGTAGCCACTCCACTACAAATCTCCGGGGTCTTCTTGATTGTCATTAAGTGCAGATCTTGTGAAAAGTTTAAAAAATGGAACCGATGAGGTGTTTTTGATACAACTAAATGAAGTAACCTAACGCTTTTTTGAATCTAATATGTCCTTCACACTAACGTTGAGCACTCATCTACCCACGCCTTCGTTATTACACATATACCCAAGCCTTCGTTAATATGTCATTACACAAAAACATATTGCGGACGCCGATCGAAGTAGACAAAATGTAAACTGTTCCGTTTACTCTGATAAACCAGGATCAACTCACCTAATTTTTTTTCCTCGCACAAGTACCTAACTTCATATGCCTATGATCGAACACCTATCTACATGACCATAACCACAAACAACAGCATCACACACGGACCTAGCTACCTAAAGATATCCTCAAACAAGAACCTACCGACACAGACGGACCTACTTACCTAAGCAT